ATCCTTCATTTTGTTAGAATACTGATTGCCAGATGAAAGTCTACTCTAACCTATGGTTTTTATTTTTTGACATTTTATTTGGAAGTAATTTCAAGATTTTAGAAAAATTCTAAGAGTAGTACAATGGAAAATACTCTCCTATATCCTTTACCCATATTCACCAATTGTTAACTTTACCCTATTTGCTTTATAATTCTCTCAATATTTCTCTCTATATATTCATATATTCATGTATCTGTGTATATATACATGTATGTGTGTATATGTGCATGTGTACGTGTGTATATACATATTTTCTCTTTTCTAAAATATTGGAGTAAGACTCATACGTTATGCCCCTTTCCCCTAAATACCTAAATGTCCTAAGAACAGGAAAAGTTTAAGGATTTCAAAAACTTTAATACAGTAATTTTCTTAAGTTAAATATACACCTATATGTTCCAGCCATTCTACTCATAGGTATTTAGCCAAGATAGATATATTTACAAAGATATGTACACAAAGGTTCATAGCAGCCTTAATTAGGATTCCAAAACTGAAAATAAATTCTTATATCTAAGCTACCACCACGTTCCAATTTTATCAATTGACCCAATGTCTGTTATAGCACATCTTCCCTTCAGTACAGGATGCAGCTCAGGATCCCTTATTGCATTTATTTATCATATCACTTTATTCTCAATCTGTAATAGTTATTCAGCTTTTCTTTGTCTTTCATGACACTGGTATTTTTAAAGCACCTCCCCTAATTTTAATGGAATGATCCTCATGTTGGGTTTGTCTGGTGTTTCATGATAAAGTCCAACACATACATTCCCAGTCACAGTATTATGTGATGCTATGTCTGACACATGATGTCCTTCTGATCTTCACTGGTGATACCTATTCTGACCACCCAGTCAAGTTGTTGCCTGGTTTCTCCACTGGACAGTTATTTTTCCATTGCTTTTTTATTTTAATTCCAGTGTAATTAACGTACAGTGTTATGTTAGTTTCAGGTAACCTAGAAGAAATGGATAAATTCCTAGAAGCATACAACCTCCCAGAACTGAATCAGGAAGAAACAGAAAATCTGAACAGACTGATTACCAGCAAGGAAACTGAATCCCAACAAAAGTCTAGAACCAGATGTCTTCACAGGTGAATTCCGTCAAACTTTTAAAGAAGAGTTAATGCCTCTTCTCAAAACTATTTCAAGAAACAGAAGAGGAAGAAAAGCTTTTCTTCAAACTTCATTCTATGAGGTTAGCATTACCCTGATACCAAAACCAAATAAAGACACTACAAAAAAGAACTACAGGTCAATATCCCTGATGAACATACCTATTTTCTACTTCTTATAAGCATGAACTGAGTCCTAATTTTAATGGTTCATAATTCATTGTTGTCCTTAATTATATGATGCTTGTCCAAGATGTGACAATGGGAAACCATTTTTCCTTCAGTGTGATGATGTTTTCATTTGAAACACAGTGGAGTTCATTTCTTTTTTCCCCCTCTATCTTTGACTTTTCTCCTGTCCTTATTTTCAAATATGTAAAATATGAGCAGGCTTCCCCAACTCAACTAAATTAAAAGATAAATTCAGAAGTATCCCACCCTCCCCTACTCCATCTATCCTCTTCTCCCACCAACGCTTTTAGAAACCAACTTCATAGTTTACTGGTTCATCTGTCCCTTACTTATTTTTGTAAAGATAAGGAGACATAGGTATGCTTTATTTCCTTCTCATTCTTACAGAGACCAGCATACTAAATACATTGTGCACTTTGATTTCCAGGAGATACCATTAAATGAGAAAAGCATTCAGTACCCATTTTTCAAGGAAACAAAATTTTGATAAATTTGATCTTTTTCTCTACCTCATCATTTCTGCATGTATCTTTATTATTTCCTTCCTTGTGCTTTTTTGGGTTGGCTTTGTGATTTTTTTTTTCCCCCAGCTTTTAGAGTTGGGAAGTGAATTTTTTATTCTCATTGGTTTGCCAAATCTTTATCCTTGTATTTTTAGGCTTTTTGAAGAACTATGTTTAGGTATGTCTTATATAAAAGTACGGAATTGGGGTTTGCTTTAGGAGCCAATTTGAAAAGTTCTTTGAGTTAAACCCATTCAAATTTAGTGACATGACATAATATTTGGTTTCAACACTGAAATTGCTTTGTTTTAATTATACACTATTTACTGTGTTTCTTTAATTTTTCCTTTAAAAAAAATTTTGTGTTGGAAAAGTTTTTCCCATTATCTTGTATCTAACTTTTTATGCCTTATTATGCTTTCTTATTTAACATTTTATTATTAGATCTGTCAGTTTTACATGGTATCCTTTGAATCCCATCTGAGCTATATAGTAAGCCATGATCTTATTCTACTTTCCCTTTTCTTTCCATTTTTTTTTAAAGTTGCAAGTTTCTGCTTTGTCAACATATTACATTTATATACTATTCCCCTACCCACATCCCCAACCCTATTTTTAGTTAAATATATGAACTGTCTACCATCAGTCCTCTTGCCCAAATTTCATCTCTCGTTTGCATGAAGTTCTCTAATATATTCCCCAGGAAGGATGCATGTGCACACTGCTCCCTTAGTTCATGGACATTAATTTCTTACAGCCTTGATACTTAAGAGAATCTTAGCTGCACGTAAAATTTGTGATTCACAATTTTTTGAGTTTAACCTGTTCCTCTGTTTCCATACTTATGTCATTCTGAGATGTCTGATGCCAGTCTTAATTTCTTGCTCTACAGGTTATTTCATCATTTTGCCTCAAGACTCAGAGGAAGTTATCAAAATCTAGTAGTTTTACCCAGCTATGTGAAGAAGCTGAGGGTCCCGAGTGAATTTTCCATGGCACCTACTAGGCAGGCCCTTTCAACATATACATTAAGGTACTGTTTTATTTCTGGTAATTTAAATGTTATTTCTGTTTTTTTTTTTTCCTTCAATCAGGAACTCCAATTATACATGTGTTGGGCTTCACTGCCTCTTCATTTTAACCAGTTTTTTCTAACCTTTTTAACTACTTGACCCCATTTTCTGGATTACCTTCCTAATTTTCATCCATGTCCCTTATTAAATTTTCATTTGAATTTGTTTACTGTGGGGTGTTTTAGTCATAACTCCGGATATGAATTTGCCTTTTTCTTTCTTGAGTCTAAAATTCTACTTTCACTTTTTCCCTTTCTTGGCCACTTCCTTTTTTAAGTTTTTGAATTTTTTTTCTTAAGTAGGCTCTATGCCCAGCATGGAGCCCAAAGTGGGGCTTGAACTCATGACCCTGAGATCAAAACCTGAGCTGAGATCAAGAGTTGAATGCTTAACCAACTGAGCTATGCAAGGTACCCCCTCAGTTTTTGAATTTTTGACCTGACTCTAAATCTTGCAGTTATTCAGCCTCATGACTTAGGAAAAGTCAAAGTTCATGCAATCAAGAATGATGTCAGAGTCTTGCAAGGAAAAGGTGACAAGCTCAAAGCAAAAAAACACATTTAAGGCCTCATTGGGCAATTAGATATTATTGCTGGTAAATATGAAGAAATGTGGCAAAACTTTTAATATATACTGAAGATTGATGACAAGTGGTTACAGATATAATAAATGCTCTACAAGATGTCCTTGAAAAAGACCCCATTCTTGGAGGTGATTATGCTCTGCTTCCATGCTGACAGTTGTGTCTAGGGTTCACCGATCTGGAATCAGTGTCTGTATCAGCTGATTTATAGTTTTCATCAAATTTGGAAAATATTTCTTTAAATATGTCAGGTGCCCTTTTGGGGAACTCCAAATTGCATATATACAAAGCCACCTGAAACTGTACCACAGCTCAGTGATGTTGTTTTTAAATTATTTATCTTTGTATTTCCTTTGTATAGTTACTATTGCAGTGTCCTCATATTTTCTTCTGCAATAGCTAACTAACTTGTTAATCTTATCCACTGGATTTTTCACCTCAGACAATGTAGTTTTCATCTCTAGAAGTTCAGTTTTGTTATACCTTTCATGTTCCTTTTTGAATAAAGGGAAGAGTTATTAAGTTGTAACTAACAGAACTGGTAGTTATAACAACTAGTTAACACTGTCATTTCTAGGGTAATTTTAATCAACTGATTTTTCTCATTATGGGTGTGTTTTCCTGTTGCTTTGCATGTCTGATAACTTTTGACTGAATGCCAAACACCATGAATTTTTGTTGGGTTATGGATATTTTGGTATTCCTAGAAATCTTCTTGAGCTTTGTTCTTGGATGCAGAATAGTTACTTGGAAACAGTTTGTTCTTTGGAGGTCTTTTAAGATCTCTTGGGCAGGACTGGAGCAGTACTTAATCCAGCCTTAGCTGTTTCCCTGCTATTAAAGCAAGACACTTCTATATACTTTACCCAATACCCTATGAATCCAAGGTTTCACAGTGAGGCTGGTGAGAACAGGTACTATACTCAGCCCTGTGTGTTGGCCACCATCCCCTCTCATCATTTTGGCTGGTTCTCTCCCCAGCCTCCAATAGTTTCTTCATACACATGTGTACTGATCAGTACTTAAAGGGAGACCCCACAGATCTCTGGTGTTCTCCTTCTATGCAGCTCTCCCTCTCCAGTGCTCTGTCCTGCAAATTAACGGCCTCAGTCACCCCAGGCTCTCAGGATCATCTCTTCAACTCCAGGGTTGCCCAGGTTCCACCTAGGTTCCCCTCCCTCAGCAACTATTTATACTTCCTTAAGGCAGTTAGCTGGGGTAGTTGTAGAACTCACCTCCTATGTTTCATGTGTCTGAGGGGTCATTGTCCTTTCTTGCCTAATGTATCCACTGGATTTTTCTTAAATCTTGTGTCTTAAAAACCCTCATTTGATATATTTTGTCCTTTTGGGGGAGTTGTTTCAGATGTGAGGGTAAATCTAGTCCCTGTTACTCCATCTTGGCCAGGAGCAAAAGTACCCATCATAGCTTCTGAATATGAATATATGTAGAATTTAAAGCCATCCTAGGATGAGAAGGACTCCTTACCTTATTAATGTATCATCATCCACAATGACCAACCATGCTATTTCGTCATGGCTGTGATTCAGAAATTTTTCCAAAATGGCAAATGTCTTTCCACAATGACCTAGGAAAGGCAAGAAGAAAACTTAGAGTGTCATATTTTCTTTAAAATGCACATATAATTCATTTTAGGGGGAGCCTGGGTGGTGCAGTTGGTTAAGCATCCAACTCCTGGTTTCAGCTCAGGTCATGATCTCAGGATCATTAGATGGAGCCCCACATTGGGCTCAGCACTCAGCAAGGAGTCTGAGTTTCTCTCTCCCCCTCTGCCCCTCTCCACCCCCTGCACTCTCCCTTTAAGTAAATCTTTAAATGTTTTAAAATGAATTATGTTTTATTAAGTTTTAAAAGCTTAAATCCTGATATGTACACATAGAAATTTTAAAAATTAGCCTTTTCTAATTTTCATAGACCTAGTGGAACAGTGAGAACTTCAGAGATCATGAAGTCTAAGCCATTTATTTCACACATGGGGAAATGGGAAACCCCGAGAGAGGAGGTCACTTAGCTAATATGAGGCAGAGCTAGAACTACTGTCTGCTCCAAAGTTGTAAGCCTCATAGAAACTACAGAATCTTGGCACCTTTCCTTAGGTATATTCTGAAGGAACTGTTAGAACCCCAAGCATTACAACTATAGGGAAACAACGGTACACACTAGATTTTGGGCGTATTTTGGTCTGTTAGAAGAAACTGCCTCCCAGAATTTTAAAGAAAAACTTTATACATATACATGTACATGTGTATATACATGGAATATGACTGTAAAGATGAAAATTAAAGATTTTAAAAGAGGAATTGATAAGTTGGTTGAAAGAAGAAAAAAAAAAACCAATGTGGTCAGGCAGGAGACTAGAACAAAGCCATACATTAGATTTAGGATATATTTTGGTCTGTTAGAAAACCTGTATCCCAAAATTTTAAAGAAAAACATATAAAAGTTAAATACAATGAAAGAATAGAATATGACTGTAAAAGTGAAAAGTAAAAAAGATTTTAAAAAAGGAATTGATAAAATATGGCTGTCCTCCAAAGCTGTATGGAAAGCTTTCAGGGAACAAAAGCTATGGAGAGCAAACCCGAGCAGATTATTTAACCCGGACCCGGCAAGGGCGGGGCAATTCCGCGTCCGGCAAAGACATTTGGGAACCACAGCAACAGGCCCCTCCCCCAGAAGATCAGCAAGAACAGCGAGCCAAGACCAAGTTTACAGATCAATGAGAATGTCAGAACTCCAATGCTAGGGGAATACAGCACATAGAATTCATGGCTGTAGGAGGGGAAGAATGCAGGGGAGTAAATTGGAGGGGGAGACGAACCATAAGAGAGATGGACTCTGAAAAACAAACTGAGGTTCTAGAAGGGAGGGGATGGGGGATGGGTTAGCCTGGTGATGGGTATTAA